TTACAAAAAATTCTATTATAGGGTTACAAAAACCAAAAAATTCGATCATGGATTACTAAAAAAAAAAAAAAAAAAAAATTAAATTTCCGTACGGAATCGGCGATTCACTGTTCGGACTCGCCGATTCTGTACAGTGAATCGGCGATTCACTGTACAGAATCGTCCGGTTCTCTCTAGAACCGGACGATTTCCGATTTTTGGGCGATCCGGTTCCTTTTTCACTATTTTCGAGTCGAACCGGGCGAGTCCGGTTCGACTCGGCGTTTTTTAAAACGCTGGTTAGTGCTAATACTATAACCATGAAACGACAATGTATCATTTATAGAATACAATTAGCCTTCATGGTTTGGTATTAATAGTTTTACTTGTCAAAGTGTTGATTTTAATAGAGTATTTGGCATACTTTAATTGAGGATGTATTTTTTGTTATAACTATTGTTAGGCCAAGTGGAAGAAGGTTAGAAAATATCCCTAATTTATGTTCTAATGATAATTATATAAGGGTAATATTGTCCACAATTTAAGTGAATTGGTTATCCAATATTAAAATAAAGATTAGTGATAACAATCACTCCCACTAATCTTCATCTTAATATATATGATGGGGATAAATGAAGAAACTATAATAAGAAAAGGATATAGGGTGACGGTCCCAGCTCTTACTCATTCTTCATAAGGAAGTTTCTCATCAAGCTTGGAGGAGAAAAGAGATGAATGCCAATCCACCACTTGAGATAAGAAGTCGTTTTCTTTTATTACTAGATCATGACAGGTGTGTTTAGATCTATTGTTTTATTCTTGTTTTTCAATAATCATGAACAATGATCCAAAAAAGATTTACATGTTTTTTAGGTCCTTAAATGTGTAAATTTGTAGCTTATTTTTACATTTTCTCCACCGATTATGAAATCTATGGCTCAAAAAATAGTACAGATCTTGCGGAATCCATGAATACTTGAAAACTGATGGTCTAGATAAGGTGTTATAATGTACAATATTCTTAGAATTCGAAAATCCTAATTTTTTTTACTACTTTAATGGTCGGGGTGAGATGATAAATTTGAAGGTTCTCCATTGCCAAACTGAAAGTGAGTTTTGAGGTGAGGCCTCATTTATTTGGATAGGGCTGCAATATCCTCCATACTTAAAATAGAAAATATATGAAGGAGATGGACAAAATTTTATGGATGGCCTTTACGTGTGTCTGAGGATGCACTTATTGCAGTGAGTCCACGCTTCCAAAATCCCACCTGGAGACGGATTTTGTATTGGCCATCTCGATGAATATGGAAAAAATGAATTTGAGCCTTCAAAGCTCCATCGCGTACCCCCTTTAACGGATTATTTATTTTATTTCAATTTTTCAAGGACCGTCAAACGGTTCAACTGAGCTAATCGGACGGGTGGTAAAAAAGTGTTAAAAAAATAAAAAATGCCAAAAAATATATGACAAGTTAGTTAAAGCAAGATCAAACAAAGCGCATCCAAATGAAGTTAAAGATTTTTGAAAAAAAATGGATTTTAAAGAATCAATTAGTTTCCAAGGGTATTTTTAAAAAATTTCAAAAAAGATAGGAAAACTTAAATAGAATAAATGGCCAAAACAATTTCCATTTTTTTCCCAAATGATGAAAAATATTAAAAATGCATTACAAACAAAATTTTCTTTTTTTTTTCTTTTTTTATTTTTTAAAATTTTTTAAATACTAAATTGACTGAAACCGAAACCGTCCAATGGCCGGTTACGATTTAACCGGGCGGTTACAATTTGAACCACCTGATTTTTCCCTACACTGCATAACATTAGTTTTAAAACTTGTCCATTTTTATAGGGTGAGATCTAAGTGTTAAAAAACTCAAATTACAAACTATTTTTTAGAGTAATCACCTAGTGATTCTAAGGTCATCACCAAAATTTCACATTGAAAAAATCTCCCTAGGATCAAGGGAGTAGAAGTAAACTTTGCTCCCGAAGGAGCATATTATATGTGCTCAATTTTTATTATTCATAAATCAAAATGAAACATTCAAATTGTAGAATTAGGTGAGAAGTGTCATTTTCCATCATTTCTTGAACAAATAAAGGGTGGTAATTCATCAAGGACGCATTTGGTTGGAGCGCAAATATTTCCCCAAAAAAAATATTTACATAGGTAAACACTTTGCGGCAAAAACATATGCAAACTTTCTTTTCTCTATGTGTCTTTTTAATATTTTTGGTTAATCCAATGGGAATGACAAGCCCCTACTCGTTTTTTCAATATATTAAGGAGGAAGTTAGATTTTGAAGATGTTAATTGGGGGGGTCAGCGATATGAATGGATACCAGTATGAATGGATACAACGATGTAGTAACTGGGTGTGTGGTATATCCCAGTGGAGATTTGGGCGCCTACTCTTATGTGAGAATGATGTAGAGAGCTCCTCAAATGGCTCAACAATACTACCGGCAACGCCCTTGGCCATTCTACATACTACCGGCAAGGCTCTAGGCCATTCTCGATATTTGTTTACACGTTTAAAAAGCATTGTGTAATGAATTTTATTACACAATGCTCAACCATGCCACCGGTAAGGCCCCAGGCCATTCCCTTACCAAACATATGTAAGGCAATTTTACTGTTTCAAACCAACCAAACGTGCCTGCGCAATTTCGAACCCTAAAGCTTGCAGTTCATCAAAACCAAAGCTAACCCAACCAGGAAAAAAAAGTTCACTATCAAAAAAGGTCCACCCCAAAGCTATATTTGTTATCAAAAAGCAAGCAGGCGACCCATTTCATACAAACCCTTGCCTCCATCCACATGAGAATTCCTTGTCTGACTACCACCCTTGTAATCAGGGTCTGGCAAAGCCATTACCATTGCAGCATTCAAATACCAAGGTTGCAGCCATGGATCCACAATGGACGAAGAAAGAGAGGATGAAGGGTGCAAAGTAACTGATCCCCAATCTCTACTCCCACGTTTTGCTTCTTTTAGCCTCTTCCTGATCAAGAAATTCCCCACATCTTCTCTTCTAGCTTCACACATTGTCTGAACCATGGCTGTACAAATAAGCAACACAAGCACTGCATCTTCTTCAGGTAACACTTCCATGGCAAATAATTTCCAGTTCATCAAAGCTGTAGCCTTCCCATTTGGACTGTCGGGGGTGAACCTAGCCATTGTCAGGAACCCCTCTTCCTCTTCAGGTTTTGCTCCTTGGACCTCGTAATGGAGTTTTCTGCCATTCATTAACCTCACCTGTGCAACCCCAACTTTATTGAATGAGAAACAATGGGTTTAAAGAGGGAAATTTATCAAAGTATACCTCGCTTTTCAACTATTTAATATTTTATCTTTTTTTATAATTCCAAACCAACGTCGAGTCGATGTAATTTGAAATTAAATCAAAACAAATGGATAAAATATCAAATAGTTAATATCTTGGTGTGTTTTAACAAAAGTCCTAAAAGAACGTTATGGAAGAAAGGAACATGAGGGAAGGAGTATTGATAAGGAGAAAGGAAATTATTTTGGATCAGTCGGATATATATTTTCTACTAGGTTAGTATGAAAGGTGTATATTGCAATCAGTATATATTAGAAGGGTAAATACAAGATAAGACAATATATACTTTCCCTTCACACTTCGCATAGTTTACTTCTCCAATTGAGCATACAACGGTCAACACTTAGTTGGACATAGGAGATTGGATCTGTGGAAATAAATCACAATCATAGTTTTCTAATACTTTTCAGCTCCGGCCAGATTACGATCTCCACTATCCAATGGTTAATCATCAGGGGCAATGCTATTGTGGTCCACATAAAAAAGAAAACCAAGTACCATGGTTCTTATCAACAAAACAAAAAAAAACATGGGTTTCTCAGTTTGGTAACTTCCTAGGTGTCAAAAAACAAAACAAGAATTTTCAGGACATTGCCAAAAATTTGTCAACCATTTATTGAGACTTGAGAATGAAAAATCGGATCTAAGATCAGAGTGCATACCGTTTGGGGTGAATCTTTGTTCTCCAGCCAGAATCGGGGCTCCTGATTACATTGTATCGTAAAATCATAACCGTTGGATAAAGACCAAGTTACTTTTCGATCTTGTGAGCCATCTTCTCTTGGTATTGCTGTTCCCGCTACATTTCCTGTAATTCAAAAATTAAAAGAGGGTTTCTATGAGCAAATAGAAAGCACGCATGAAAAGAACACCTTACCAATGAAATTGCAACTTAACCAAACAAAATATCTTCCAAGAAATTCATACAAGCCCACCATATTTGGTACCAGTTTTATTCCTCCTACAAGTCACTTTTTTTTGGGGCAAGAACGGTCATTCATTGAAGGAAAAAATTGGTATAGAAGTCAGGTGCATCTCAAAAATCCATAGAAAAATTTATTCCAATGCTAGAAAAACTTCCACTTAAACCATCTCAATTCAAGAATGTATAGTTATGAAAAAAAAAATTTATTTTGAATCATGACAATAGTTCCTCTCTCAATCTATTAACTTGACCGTTCATTTTTAAGTGTTTATAGATCCGCCTAATCCACACTATTTTTTAGATTTTAAATTTCATAATTAAAAATGAAAATAGACCTTGAAACCATCATATAATTTTCCGGAACATATACTGTATCTTTCGACACAGTTTGGGGGTGCGCCTTACTTTGATTGATTGATGTTTGTACCTTATACAAATCATACCCTCTATTAAAATATTTTCTTCTACAAGATCATTTATTTGTATAACAAGGACACAATCACTCCTTGCCATTAAATGCTGACTCACAGCCTCGAATGTGTTTGGAAGTTGGAAAAAAAAATTAAGACTTCTAAGCCTTGTCAATGACCCACACCCCCAAGCCGCAGGGATTTTAAATTTGATGGCCAACTATGGCTTTGACGTCATTATAACAAAAGTAAATAGTCTTATACATGCTATTCTTTTGGGAAACTTCACATTAAACTCGTTCTTTTGTAACTTTTCTTTTTAAGGATTTCTATCTTCAGTTATCTTCTAGCAAGGGCGAGCTACTTGTGTCATTAAAATTAATTTGGGAAAATATCAACAAAAAAAAGAGTTGAAACATCTTATATAGAGGGATCAAAAGATTGCAAATTACAAACGAGAGAATATGCTTTTAAAATTCTTATATCAATCAAGTACGTCCTTAAAAAAAGTTAAAAAAATTCCAAAACTGCCCCTATTCAGTGTTTAAAAACCCGAACATTTTGGACATTTGAATAACTTTACTCCAAAGAGGTCTTAACTGAATGGTAATTAGGGGTAAAATTACGAAAGCACTTCTAACTACTCTAGCCTCCCAGGCAATTTGAATTATTATTATTATTATTTTTTTTGAGGATGCACTGTAGAATTTTAAAATTATATATTTAAATATAAAAATGTAATTTTTTTATCGCTTTAGTGATATTTTAAACGGTTTATACCCCTTTTTTTTAATATTTTTCCAGTAAATTTTACGCATCATATATGCCAACTTTCTCGAGGTAAAAATAACTGAAGGACATGAAAATAGTGTTGGACCCCATTTGTGATGGGCTAGTGCGAGTGGAGAGACGGCCTTCTTAAATGTCATCATCATCCAAGTACAATTCTCACTTGAAAAGTTGAGCATGTGCGATTTATATTGCCTGTCTTTCTCTTTCCTCGCTTGCTTCCAGACTCAATGAACTTGGGCCTTCTTAAGCTCCCTCAAATACAATTGAGGCACATGCACGCAATAACACATGTTGAGTGATTTCAAAGTGACAAAAAGTATTTACAATCAAATCGGTGATCGAGTTTATCGAATCGGTTATTTAAATTTTTAAAAAAAAAATTAAAAAAAAAGTGAGGCGAGTTCTTACCGACTAGTTCCCTATATATTTTACAATAACCGATTTGTCCCCAACAATTTCCCATCCGTTTTGGCTTGTTCTAATCCACATCGATCTTTTTTTAAACCTTGACACGATCGAATCAACATTTTTACTTGTAAGCAGTGCAAGAATAAGCATTATTTGAGTAATAGTATGATTTATATTTTATTTTTTTTTTAACCTGGGGGAGTGAATGGTTTGGGGGTATATGCCTGGGTAAAATTTGAATAGTTCAAAAGGTACGTTTTTTATAAATTTCTTAAAAGAAAATAGTAGAAGATAAGGAAAGAAATCTTTTCTTACCGGGAGCAATTCCTACTGAACCAGCAACATAAGACCATGAGCCAAGGCACACTTGTATGATCCTCTCCTCCCACTTCACACCCACTGGAGCTTCGCCTCGGCGTCGCCAAATTCCTCGACCAACTCTGTAACTTTCTAGCCTCAACATCAACCAAAACTGCCCCAAATACAACCAAAAAAAGAAAAAAGCCAAGAACCCTCACCGAATCCTAACAACAAAGCATTCTTTCCCGGCATGGTCTAGCACAGTGCGAGTCAACCACCGACCTTCTTGCGGCCTGAACTTATTCATCCGCAAAATTACATCAGAGACCATGGCTCCACGATCATCCGTAACTAAATCTGGAACACATTTGAGAAGATACGGTGCTTGTATAGGTGGTGTAATCGAGGCCACTACTCTGAGCTTCGATCCCATACTTTGCTCGATTTCTCGACTCAAAGTGAGAGAAGGGGCTCGTAATAGGTCGTTCCATAGGAAAACTAGTCTCTCCTGCAAAGTATTTGACCTAAAGCAACCAAGTTTTGATCTCCAGAGTTCAATAACAAATCCCTTGGTGCCGAATTCACATTGTAGGTGCCATGTTTGTTGCCATGAATTTTGTGTATTAGAAAGTAAGCTTGAAACTGGGGGGTCAATCTTGCATTGCCTGTGACATCTCAAGAATCTTAGTTGAAGAAATGAGCCCTTGTTCTTTTCTTCCCATTTCTCCTCTCCTTTTTCTTCCCCATCTCTCTTGATAGATATGCATACCTGTTGATTTGGAGGAGCTGCATCACTGTAAAAACTAAACCTGCAAAAACAGATACCTTTGCCTCCAAATTGCAAATTTACTTAGGGGATTGAGGAAATGAACAATAAAATGTATTGACTCCAGATATAAAAGATGGAGTGAGTTAGTGATGAGGAGGTAATATGCATTAGGAATGGGTGATCCCATATACAGACTAAATTTTGGTGAATAAAGAGCTTTTAAAAATTGTAAACTGGTCGTCATTTGAATTTATCAAGTTTATACGAATTAAATACCTTAAAAAAATGAATAATAATAATAATAATATTTTAAAAAAAAGATTTTGTGGGTTTTTTAAAAAAAAGGAAAAAAAAGAAAGAAATAGCACTTATTGTTTTTTAAAATTGAGCTCAAAATGAAAATTGACTTTTGAAAAAAAGCTTAAATTAAAAAAGGAACAGATTTAACCAAATAAAAAATTTATCACAAAACGAAAAAAAAAATCATCTTTGACTTCATCTAAATGGAGCATAGATCCAAAATCATGTTTTATTAAGAGAAAATATATACAAAAAATAAAATAATTGAAAAAAATGGTGGACAGAGAACAAAATTCGATCTTATGAATTTTATGGTTTTGATGTAGAAAATTATTTTTGCTTCAATATGATAGGAGCATTTTGGGATAAATTTTGACAAAATTTGGTGAAACAATAAGAAAGAACTCTAAGATTTTCAATTTATATTTTTGAAAAAGTTCCCAAACTTGGGACTCTGATTTTTTATCCCAAAAATGATTGTTTAGATATTAGGGATCGAAAACAAAATTTTTGATATTAATCTCATGATTTCTAGTAAGAAATGAGGAAAAAACATCGAGTATAGTGAAAGTTTCAAGGAAAAAATATTTATTTATTTATTTTTATTTTTTTCTTCTCCTCGTACTTGGACAGTACCGAGTTGGGGCAGAGACGGATTACGTCTTGCGTGGTTCCATTCGCTCGGAGATTTTTTTAGACGGAACGATTTCTTTGCAAGAATTACAGTATTAAGTTTCATAAACGCGAAGAGAGAGAGCGAGAGAGGTTTACCTCAATTAAGAATCTGGGACCCAGTGACTTCCATTTCTTGTTGATATCCACAGCAGAGACCTCAGAGAAAATGGTGGGTTTCAATAAAACCCTATCAAAACTGGCTCCTGCTTTCTGATAGGGGCGATCGAATGTGCTTTCCCAAAGCTTGGCCGTGGTCCTCACATCTTCACTAGTGCCTGAGCCCCATTGCCCCACCACTTTCCCCAAAATCTCTCCAATTTCCCTCGTGTCCTCAGCATAAGATATAGGAAAAGTCTAGCAAAGAAATCAAAGTTAGGAACCTACCTCTAATTTGAAACCTAAATTTTTTGAAACTAACTGAATGCGATCAAAACAGTACAGAAGACATTTCTCCAACTGATTCCGAATCCACCAGAAAAATATCCAAAAGTCTGATCCCTAGTCTACCTATTCGAATCCGCTTCGGATCCTCATATAGAAAAAAAAAAAGAACAGTGGAATTGGCCTCTAACAAAGTTAAAGGGTAATTTCTAAAACCCTGTTTACGACCCATATATGCTTTCAGAATAAGAATTTAAAGGAGCACACAGCTTGAAGAAAAGGCAAAAGAACAGGGAACTACATAAAGTTAAAAATTTAAAAAGAAGTTCAGGAAAAACTTTGATTCTCTCAATAACAAATTTTATATTTTCCTTAATACACTTTCAGGAATTTTTTGGAAAGCCAAAAGCCCAAAACTTTAAAAATCTGAGACTCCCCTCTGGGCAGCTCTGTCGCTCTCTGGTCCACACCATTGGCTCAAGACAAAGAGAATCTCTCTCTCTCT